GGTCTGCAAAGTTCATCAGGTCTGCACCCGAAAGGTCTTCCCAATCTCTCGCATAGCCGCCATGGCTTCATTGGGAGTGTTGGAAGTCTTACACTTCTGGTATACTCCTGGCTTCACCACTGTTGGAGTCAAGGGTATTTGGGGAATACTCACGAAGCTCCCTCAAGTCTGATGCTTCAGAGCGAGGTGAGCTAGCTGGACATCTACTGTAGCACGGGCTCTCCAAGCTCAAGAGCTTGCCAGCCTTGCCTTACCGGTCTCTACGTCACTCTACGTTCATGTCAGCTGAAAGCGAAGCTTGAGCAAAGCAAACACCACCCAGCACGCCTGGCATCTCCTTCCAACTCGACGACGATGTCCCAACAGCTCTCGACACTCAAGCACTCAAGTCACGCGTGGGCGAACCGCAATGCGCAGAGCCAGCGGATCCTGAAGCAGGGTTGAGTGTGGCTAGGGGCTGGCTGAGGGCCTTGCGTGGAGTCGCCCAGTTTAATTGTGCACGGGGCTGCATGCAGGAGAACCGGAGCTCCCGTGTGCATGGGGCAGTGACTACACGAGAGAGAATCGGACGTGGCGGCCGGCATGTCATGCCACGCAGCCTCCGGCGCCTCCACGGCATTCGCAGCACGCGAAGCACCTTGAAATTTGTCAGGCCAAACTTCTGCGATGTCCCAAAGCCGTCCTACGAAATCTCACGCTTGGTAAGCTTTTGTGGCTCTCGAAGAGAGCAGACGAGCAAACGGTGAGTTTGTGGAAGGCCTCAAAGGGACCTCTGCCCGGCTTCCCTTCTAAGCGCAGTGCTGTGGGTCAGCAGGCACCACCTCCAAAGAGCAGGCGCTCCGGATCCGCCGATCACTTTCTTGGGCTATACCAGACTGCAACATCTCTAATATCATACTAAACTATAAATCTGGATGTGACCCCGTAGACAAGGGTAAGGAGCTGCCGACCAGCGTGAGCAAACCAGCCACTGAGAGGCGCACAAAGCTGCATTGGATGTCTGTTGCACCTTGTCTTTGGGCTTTTTGTGGAGTTCGCGCTTGCATGACTCACAGTCCTCCGGACTCCTTGCAGATCTTCGGAAGGCCCCATGCAACAACAAAGCAAACAAACGAGCTGAACACACGAACAAACAACTAAACAGACAAGACAACTTGCAAGCTAGCAGTGTGACAGCAGCTGACTGGCTAACCAACTACGCAACGAGCTAAAACCTGAAAACCATAGCGGGTCCACAGTGTGTTTTATAATAGTATTACTACACTGTCACAGAATACTAAAACAGTACTATAATAGTACTATAAAAAATACAAAGATAGCACTACTATACCAGAACACAATATTATAAAAATAAACTACGCGAGCCCGAAGCTGCTAAGGCCAGGGCCAGAGCCAGGCACCAGCCCAGCTCTGCTTCGCCCCAGCCTCGGCAAGGGGAGCCGTTACAGGTTCCGTTTATGCTGGCATGGAAACACACACATGTAAATACATGTGTATGTGTATGTATAGATGGGTGTAAATATATATATATATATATGCATATGTATATGTATATATATATATATGCATATGTATATGTGTATATATATGCATATATATATATATACACACCATGTGTGTGTGTGTGTGTGGGTGTGGGTGTGTGTGGGTGGTGCTCTGCTTCTCATGTAGTATGTCCTTCAACCAGTGTACCCGTTGTGCATACAAACACATGTGTATATATAGATATACATACATACATATTTGTGCATGTATGTATGTGTCTGTGAAAGATATAAGTATGTATGTATACATATATATATATATGTCATGTGTGTGTACATGTGCATGTATGTATGTGTCTGTGCAAGATGTATGTGTGTATGTGTGTATATACGTAGTTATTTATTCATTGATATATTTATTTGGGTGCGTGTGTGTGCCTAAAAACATATATATATATATATACACATGCAAACATACAAACGTTATGTGTGTCTATGTAGTTGCGTGTCATAGACACACATATACACAGATGAACACATACATACATGGATGCATGCATACAAACACGTACACACATAAACATACACACATACACGTACACACACTCGCAAACACACAATTAGACATACATATGCACATGTATATACATAGACATATGTCTTGGTATAGAAACACACATATGTGTGTACTACATATATGTGTTTGTGTGGCGTGCTCGTTGTTTAAGGGCGGAAGTGTCAAATTTTTGCTGTGAGACTTCGACAAATGCTTAATTGCGTCTAAAAGACGACCCATGTCGTATTCATGGTCATGTATATGTGCTTTTCAATCGCTTTGGGTTGCCTGTTCACTCCTTCTTTTGCATATGCCGTCTGGTTCAACAACCACCACAAACATCACGTCAAGCAGGCAAACCGGAGTATTCACAATATCCGGCCAAGGCTCGCGCAACTTGGCGTCCATAGGGTCATGTTGTGTGTCGAAGGTAGGCAGAGAAAGCCAGAAGTCGTTCGTCTTGTTATATTGTAAGAACGCCGTGAAATAAAACCCACCAAGCCTGCTGAATCCTTTGCGAGATTGGCACTGGTTTCGTGCATGTTTCGATCGAAAATACAAGGTTAAGTCCAGTGTCTTGTCTACTTTTGCGAATGTGCGATACCGCACTTTGCAACCACACGTGCATTGTATGCCATCAACGAACATCAAGACTGTGGTCTGCTCGAAAATGGGTCCAAACAGTGCTGTCCTAAACATCACTGTACTATTAAAAATAATGGCTGCTTCACATCCAAAGGAGCTATCATTTAAGGTCTCCAGTTGCTCGGCGTGTCGCGAATGCATCACACGCTCAGCATAAACTGCACAGCGCATCCCAGCGGTAGTGCCCGGTAGTGATTTCGATGATTTCGGATTATAGTCCTGCCGGAAGTGGGTGCAAAATGAATTCGAACACTTCAACGGCCGGACAAGTGAACAGCACAAAGCGAGTGCTAGACAAAGACTTTTCTGGCCAAGTCTTATGCCGCGAATGCCTGCTCACAAGAAAGCCAGTACGAGTATATAGAAGCAGACTTGATCGAGCGCCAAGCCGATGGAATTGGCCGCAGCAGACACTGCTTCGACCTCGACAGCTCTGCAACCACTCAAATTAAATCCTGTCCGACAGTTCCGAAATAAATAAAGGCATGACGATCTGTGCATGCATGTCTACATGCCATACCATAAACATGTAAATTCATATGTGCATGCACATGAAGGTATCTGTCTACCCACCTACCTATCAATCAATCTGTCATTCTATTCATCCATCAGTCTATCCATCTATGCAACTGTCTTTCGATCTGTCCATGTATCCATGAAAACAAGCGAATAAATTCATAGCCATTAAATTATGTAATGGTTGTACATAATGCAAATAACGAAAAGCAAGTCTGTGTTGAGGTATATGCGCACAATATTGCACAATGCCGTACAAATCGTACAGACAGTCGGACCTTTGTTCGCTGTACGGTTGCCGCTCTGCACGCGGGCGGGGTAAGCAGGTCAAGGCGTCACGTCCCAGGCTTTGCAAATTGCATGCACGATCATGAACTAAATTAACTTGACAATCTTCTGACTGTAGTTCGGCAAAACACTGCAGTCTGTGTAACTTCGCAGCAAGCAGCGCATGTCGACCTTAACTACTGCACCGCTTCGGTGCAGGGTATACTGCACACCAGTCAAGATAGATATATATATATATATGTATATAGATACTGTAGCAAATCCTTGTTACAGTCTTGGCCGAAAGCCGACTCTTCCGAAAGACGAGCCTAGGCCTGAAAGGCCTGAAAGTCGAAAGCGACACAGCTCAAGCTGACATTGTAAAACTATGTCATGGGCCAAGATACTTATGTACTCACGTAGACAAACATACATTCAAATTCATACATACTTAGCTATGTACTTACATACAGACAAGGACATTTTCCTACGTCTTGTCCTCTGACACCTTTTCCCAAAAGAGACCTGCAGTGAGGCCTCTAACGCAGGTTCCTGCGAGGACAGCTGGCCTTCTTAAGCTTGGCCTGGTGTACACGATCTTACCACCGCTGCTACCTTATGTTCTGGGAAGCAGCACAGTAAGAGCAGCAGTAGCAGTAGGCCTTGATAATGAAATGGAAACGACTTCGAAACTTACGATCAAAGCCCACTCCTGCGCCTTTATTGTGTGAATCGATCGCCTACCAGGCAGCCAGGTGCTGGGGTCTCCCTCGCAATCCGCTCCCCTTAAAGTCTGCTCTCTGAGTGTTACAGTTGTATGCTGCTCAACTGCAATCCCTCTGCGGTCTCGCACGTCAGGACTGGAAGCTGTTATAATTGAAGAGTACCTTCAACAGAAGCTAAGCGGTACGACGGCCAAAGCTCGAAGAAGCAGCGAATTCCGAATTGTCCGGGCTGAAGCCTCCAGTATTGTCTATGATGGCTCTGCCTCGCACCAAACCTGGAACTCAGTCTTGCCCGTCAGATAATGAGGAGGCAATTTCCGGCTCTGTGCAACCGGTTGAGACATGTGCAGGAGGAACCCCCTTTTGCAGAGGAACTAAGCGCCTTCGTGTACCGACCTGCTGCCCGTCACAACAAACAGGGTCCGGTGTGAAGCCTCACTCTCCTCTACTGCCTCTCTTGTTGAATCCGTAATGTTTGATTAGTTCGCGTTAGGCTACTTCAGTGGAGTTCGGGAATCTATTCACATGCGCTCATTGACATGCCTGTGAGCCTGTGAGTTCAAGCGCCGTAGTGTCGGGGCTCCCCCAACTCTTTGAGAGAAAGAAGGCTCCGAGCCAAAGTGGGCGCAAATCTGTTCTGTGTGGCCTTTGTGGTATAGCCATGTCTTGTATGCGGCAGGCCTGGTGCTGAAGGGTTCAAGATTCGAGGCTAGTTTATCAGACTGGCTCATCCTAGCACTGCGGTGCTGCGTTCAAGCTGATTCCATGGGTGTTGGTGGCGAGTGCCTTGCGACCACTCTTGATCATCTACGGCCCTGCCGTCAGCGGTGCTTGGGCTCCTTGAAGATGCGATGCGGGGTTGATCCCGAAGCTCATCCTCGGATCAAGTCAAGGCTGAATGTCGACTTGAAAGAGCCGACCGGGTGAGACGCGAGAGAGCGCAACGTTCTGGCAGGATCAATGCTACTTGAGACCTTGTTGTTGTGCTTTCACCACGAAACTACGAAAGAATTCACTAACGGCGACGACTTCTACTTCTGCATCAGTCTTTCCACTTACTGTCCCAGCTCTTTGCCAAGTTGGTGCTGCCCGACACTGCTTGCAACACTGCTGGTTTTCAGTGTCGTTTCGGCGTCGAAGTACATGGAGGTTTCCGAAAATAGGGGAAACCTAATATAGTACCCTAAATAATAGGATCCCTACTATAAGGGCCCCCAAATACGGTACCCCTTATTTTCGGAAAGTCCCTGACATGGCAAGCTGCAAGATGACTTGCAGCCAGTTTTCAGCAGGCAAAGGATGCCCATCAGCATGTTCCAGAGGCCGGCCACGAAGGTCAGGCAGACAAAGCACCTCAAGAAGCTGGGCGCCAGCTCTTCCGTTTCTTTGCAGAGTTGCGGGGCATTGCTTAAACCATTGGACCGTCCGAAAGTCAGCAAATGACCACGTTCTGTTTGATCCAAGGCTGAGGAGGAAGGGATGGTTTCAATGAGAGAAGCATCTTCCAAATTTGGGCTCTTTATGGCTGGGTTTGGTAAGCTAGACTCTGCTCCCAAGCAGTGCTTGCTCCTTCCAAGAGAAGCCAAGCGGCTGTGTCACGGCGAGTGTACCGATGAACCTCGTCACTTGGTCTTCGACAAATCCCTTGAAGTGCTGTTTGTAAGACGCTGCTCGCATGCTGGTACGATGGGCCTGGCATATTTGCAAATCCTCCGCACTCGCTTTAGAATTCGGCGAGCAGAGACGACAAAGGCGGAACCGGGCACCCGGCAGGTAGAAGAAACCTCGCCCTCGAAGCTCTGTCAGGAAGTTCGCACGGTTGAACACTTCCATCTGGTATCCTTCGATGCACAGGAGGTGGTCAAGTCATGTCAAGTCTCGACTGCCTCGGAGTCTCGATTTGCATTCCCAAAACTCCAAATCCCGACATTCAACGCGGCCGGGCATCCTTCCACCCATGGGGAGAACCGACCAATGAACTTGAGCTTCCGCATGCTCTCTACGTCGGCCTGTCGAGGATGTAGGCTCTTCAGCACTGGAGGAGCCAATGCGAAGCAACATGCAGCGCAGGCAATCCAGACAAGCGAACACAAAATGCTTCTTCGCGAATTGCTGCACCTGCCACGATGTTCACTGTATCACGTGGACTGAAGCGACTGAACCAGGAAAAAAAAAGACGATAGGGTGATAAAGCATCCCGGCCTCCAGCAGGAATGTAACAATTCCAAAAGCCACCAGGTAAGCGTTCCTTGCCAGTGCCCATGCATGGTGGCATGGCGCACGTGCGCTACTACGAGAACTAAGATGGTCAGGCTGGGTGCGGGTTCCAATTGTCCCTGTGAAATACCCGCAGCCCCACCTAACCCGACTCAAAAACTCCTGAGAACGCCTCGGCCTCTTGAGGCGCTTTCTGTCCCAATGGTACTGCACCGACCGACTTTGTTTCCCTCACGGCGAGGTATTAGGTCGCTGCAAGTCCACCACATGCCCCTCGATCGTGTCCAGCGAATACATGCTCCTTGTTCCCTGTACTCGTCGTCCGACTACAAGATACAGCGGAAGCCGTTGCCTCTCACTTTCAGAACACCCAAGATCATACCTGCCACGACATCCATCAGAAGGCTGGTCAATGCCAAGGCACAGGACATAGGCAAAAGGAGAGGTCAGGCCTCAAATTGATTTTCCAACATTGCGAGCCGTAGGATTTCGGGTGCTCACAAGCAAGCCGAAGGGCTTTTGTTCAGCTTAGGGTTCGACGGAGAAGGGTTTCCGACCCTCCCACACCAATCAGAACTCCCGAACGTCAAACAGCTGTCCAAATCTCCCCAAGGTTTACGGCTTTTGTTGCCTCCCGCCTTGTAAGCACGAACCTACGAAAGGCTTAGGGCTTAGGGTTTTGGGTTACATGCTGTGGAGGAGCTTCACCGGTGAAGCGCCACAAACGAAGCACTGCTCCCCCGCATGGTCACCAGAAAGCTACATAACTGTGGTCTGAAGTGCGCGAAATAGACTGAAGCCTTGTTCCCTCATTGTTTCGGCCATTGCATTCCTAGTCAGGCTGGCGAAGAAAACTCTGCTTTCCCCTCTTATCTTGTATGGACCTGCCAGCTGATGACACTAGTTACTAGTTCAGATTTTTGCACCAGCGTTTCAGTGGTTGTCGTCTAGTAAGGGTTTCGGCGCACAACTTCACCCGGGTCTAGAAGGCCATTTTTGATCGGTCTCGCAAATCGGGCAGAGTTGTTAACCCTAAAAGTAGCCGAAGTAGTCTAAAAGACTTCCAGCTGGAGGCCTGACTAATTCGTTGAGCTGCCATAGCCGAAGTTCAGCAGGCCCAAGATACCGATGATGGTGGTCGCTAGCCCACCTGCACAAGCTGTTGCGTGGCAAGGGATCTCATACATCTTCTACGCCGGAAAACTGGAGATTCAAGACGGAGCCTCCCATTTGTAATGCTGAGACTCTGTTTTGCGTCGTTGTGTAAACTGCTGCCTCAACCCCGGAAGCCTCCGTTGAAGGCAGCCTCCGGCCTAGGAAGCAGAGCACGGAGATTCCGGCCGGGCCCTCCTCGATGTACTTACCGAGCTCCTGTGCTCTGCTCTGGCTTCAGGGTGCTGAGAGATTCGGGCTTCGGCTTTAGGTTTAGGGTTTAGGGCTTTTTTTGGTTTTGGTCTAAGATTCTTGAACGTTTTCTTGTTCAATCGCCCCTTTTCTGCTCGCGGTGGTTCAAAGAAACGCATCTTAAAGACCAGGTGCCCCGGCTCTTCCTACATGTTTCAACAGCACCACAGCTTCGAGGCAAACGTAAAGCTATTGATCGCAAAGGTCTCTAGGTGGCTAGGACATCCTTGCACAACCAAGTCTCTAAGGGGGCTTAGGCTTTTTTGTCCCAGGCTTGGGGGTTGAGGCTCTGTGTCAAGATGCTTGAAGGTTTAGGGCAGAGGCTCAGGGTTTACGGCTCGGCGGGTGCGTTGCTTAGGGTTTAAGGCTCTGGTTCTAGAATTTTTCAGGGTTGCGACTCACACACACCCGCACCAGGGTTTAGGGCCTATAGGCTCAGGGTTAAAGTCTGCAGGAGGCGAGGAAGCGACGTGAAAAAGAAGAGTTAGAACAGAGCACGGAGATTGAATGAATGAAGAGACATGAATCTCGCTACACTCTAACTTGGTTAGTGTTTTCCCGATTCTTCTAATAACGGTAGCACGTTTCGGCTTCTGGCCTAGCAGGTTTTGGCGCGCACTCTTCGAAGGAAACCGTGAGCACACCACACAGATCCGCAGCGACATCTTTTAGAAGCTTATGAAGACTCTGAAGAAACAACAAAGACACAAATAAGAAGATACCAGAAAACTCATCCACTTGGGTCTGCGGGAGCGTCGGCTCTCCAAATTCCGGCCCCTGTAATCTTACCAGAGCGAAGACTTGGTCCGGCCAGGCAAAGCCCGACATGTCTCACAGACTCCGACCAGGAAGGGCTGACGAAGCTCCCATCTCACCGAAGACAGAAGTGCAACTCAGCATTTATATATATATATATATGTCATATATATATATATATATATATATGTGTGTGTGTGTGTGTGTATATATATATAAGCAAACCAGAACGAACCAGTCCCGCAGAGAAGACAAAGGGTTCCTCCTGAAAGCACTCAAGTTGCCTCGGCACAACCAGCAAGAGACAACGAGATACTTGAAGTCCCAAAGTAAAGTCTCTCGGTGCCAGGTAGCACGACTGAACCTCGACTCCCTGCCTACGAAGCATCACCCCGAAGCCCAGAGGTAAACGCAGAGAGAGGAATATCCCTCCATCTTACTCGGTACGCTTCAAATTATCCCTCTGAACTTTATGTTGTATCTTACTTGGGAACCCCCAACACCCGATCCTCCGCCGCCATGGCACCCGCTACCCGCGCGGCTTCGAGACCCTCCTGAGACTCGGGGCTGGAGGGCTCGAGAGTCAGCCAAAGCTTGCTTAAGGCTTTGTCTTTGAAAGCACCTTTTTTTCGTTTCGGCGTGCACTGGTCGCACGAGGGGTTCAGGTTGTCAGGTTGTTTTAAACCCCTCTTTTCCGCCTGCCATGTTACTGCTAGTCCGAATGCCTGTCAGGCAGAGGTGTTGGCACGCGAAAGGGGCATTGCTAAGGAGATTTTTTCCAGTATGGTACGCCGTGGCGCGTGTGTCGTGTATTACATTTGGAACGGTTTTGGGAAGTTCACATGCATGTTTACATTTGGAACGGTTTCAAGCAGTTCACTCATTTTTGTTAGGGTTGAGGAATTGAGCCTTTTGGGTGTCGGGCCGGAGGAGGGGCTGAGAGGGAAGAAGAGGGAGTAGGGCCTAGAGAGACGGTTTGCTGATCGGACGTATGCCTTCTGTTTCTGTAGACGTTGTATCCCTAGACCGAGCGTTAACTACGCAAAGATGGCCCAGGAAAGGGAATGTGCATGTCTTTCTTGTGGCTCCGGACAGCTGCGAAGGCTGTAAAATCCATCCTGGCTAACGAAACCCAGAAAGCTCCTCATGCCGAGAAGCAGCTTACATGCTGCTCGTCTAGCTGCGAACTAACGTTTCCATGCCTTCGGACTCGTTCACATTACAAGACGGCGCAGTCCTGAGCTTTGGTGTACGCCGCTTCCTGGAACACAGGGCGAAGTGAGATTGATCGTTGGGTGTCCGTTGCGTTGTTTCGGCTAAGAAGGCTACGCAAAACTTATGACACGGTTCCTGACGTTCTGGTTTTGTTGAACTTCACACCTTCTGAATGCATCCTTTTCGTCCGGGAATCTTCTCATCTCTGTTGTTCATGCTTGTGCTATTCCAAGGGTATCAGTAGGTTTTGTCTTGTATGTGTTTAGGTAGGGTGGAGACTAGATGACTTGAGCAAGCATGAGTCGTTGCATGTGTACATGTTCCTATGAATCTATGTGTCTATTCTTGTGTTTGCATTGGCATATGTCTCTCTATTAAATAATTGGAATGTCCGTTTGTTCGTATACCAATTCATACATATTTGGTAGATAAACAGATGTACATATACATATGTACGCATACAGGTCGAGATAGATAGAGAATCATAGAGACGTGGCGAGAAAGCCAGAGAGAGAGAGAGAGACAGGGACGTAAACTTAATTTCATTTACACGTGTATAGATGTCTGCAAAGGTAGGTGAAGATGCGATGGGTAGATGGATCGATGAGTGGATGGATGGAAGGAGGGCAGGAAGGACGGATGAATGGATCGACGGAAGGATGGAAGGATGAATGTGTGCATGTACATGTGTTAATCTGCACACACGTTTGTATTACCGCAAAAATATATACATGTACATATTAATATATATATATGTGTGTGTGTGTGTGTACATGCAAAAACATACATAGATATATATATATACACATATGTATATAAGTATAGATGCATACCTGTGTGTGTGCGTGTGTTCGTGAGCATGCGTATGCTTGCATGTACGTATACAATTACAGCCCTGTGTACATATACACATACATAGTTATACAAACACACACACATAATATATATATATATATATACGTGTGTGCGTACTATTTATATGCTTGGTGCTCATTGTCACGTTTCTATTTTGTGCACCAGTGCCTGCATGTAAACTGAGCATACAGGTCCAAACAGCGCTGGTGCATACACAAAGCTCGTGTGCGTGTGTGCCCACACGAGTGTCTACACAGAAAAAACACATCGACATATACATATGCGTATGTATATACTCATATGTCGCATGCCTGACTGTGTGCAGATCTTTCTCCTCCTGCTCCTTTGCATCTACGTTTGAGACCGCGATACGCCACGGAATGCATGGTCTGTATGGCGTGAAGCGATGCATACTCCCGGAAGCGCATGCATAATGTTGAATGTTGTGGGAATGCCGACAACCTTAAACTTGTGTTAGAGTAAAAGTGTGAAGCCTATCAAGTAAGACATACATGAAAAATGTGCTTCGGATCTGTGCGCATGTGCACATAATCAATTTACCTACTTCAGCACGATATCCATTCCTCCCTGCCCTTCGCACCTTAAGCTGCTGCTGCACCGTGGGATCCTGCCTTAGGTCAGGCTATGATACAGGAAGTGCTGCAGCAACTCCAGCGAAAGCTGGGCCAAGCGGCAACGCAGCTTCTGCCGCCTGCTGTGCGAAGCCGCCGCCTGCCGGCCAAGGTGGTCCGCAGAAGCACATCAAGGTTCCAGTTGTGGTTTTGTGTGTGTGTGTATGTTTGTGTGTGTGTGTGTGCTTGTGTGTCTCGTGCCTGTTCTTAAGTATGCAAATTCTAGTGAAACTGCATTGAATGCAGCAGAACTTCTGCACCCAGATCGACAGGCTTGTACATGTATGTCCTGCTGCAACGAATGCTTACCTGAAAACAACTCTTGTAGTAACCTTAGAATCACCCCACAATCACCCTGACATTCCGCAACCTTATAGTAACCTTATAGTAACCTTATAGTATCCTTTTAGTAACCTTATAGTAACCTTATAGTCACCCCCCATCATGGCAAGAAAGGACACAACGGCAAGGATTGCACTCGAACCCGCTACCTCCTCCATAGCCGCTTGAGGCTGCAGGGCCAGGGCCGCCTGGGTTGATCTTGGAGCATACTATAGTGATGATGACATAATATTATCATATAATATACTACAATCTCATATAATATAGTATTGAACTACAATCTCATATAATATTGGTCTTTTAGAATAATGTGGCTTCCTTCTGTGAGTGGATTTGAAGGCCCACGCTGAGGTAGCTTCCCAACTTGGGCACCCACTCTTTGTAAGATGGGCAGGGCAAACTTTTGATCTCCATGTTACATTGAAACAAGGCGCACGACAGCAGGTACCGCGATGCAGCTACAACAGAGGATGGATCCCAGCAATATCGTGAAGTTATGCATCCCCTACCTGCACCGAAGCCACTCGGAGCCGAGGAGGATTGCGCTCCTTGCTGTTGCCAAAGATCAATACTGGCAGCTCTGGCGACTGCAAGACTCTCTGGTTGCATGCTAAGGCTGGATCAGCTTTCACGCGGGGCTGCATAAGGGTTCTAGGCATAAGAACATCACGTACTCGATTTTGAGGCGCGGTGGTCCATAGCCAACAGATTTGCAGATCCTGGCTCACACCCTTCTCAAAAACATGATCTCGCCAAGCCGCCGCCGGAAAGGTCCACTTTCGCCCCTCGCTCAAAACAGAGGCATGGCCAGAAGTCATGCAAAGGCACGGTAGGACAGGGACATTTCCATGATTGCTCCGGGAAAATGGCACATTGCACAATAACATGAATCTGAAGACTAAGTGACTAACCTGGACGATGTAGGGGTGGGTCCAACTCTCAGGGCTGTACATCTGCAGGCTTCGGATGGAAGATTGACTTGCTGCAGATGTACTCCAGCTCCTAACGTGTCTATGACTACATAGGAACCGTTCAGTTCTCGCCTTTCAGATTGCATGATGCTGAAGCAATGCCCTCAAATCCATGTCTCCCGCCCATCCGGCCTGACATGGCGACAGGCCGCAGCAGCCTAGGCCGTTACAAAACTACAAGGCTTCTCCGAGCCAGAAAGCTGCGGAGCATAGGTCTCGAAGGGCGAAAGGCCCTCGAGCGTGCTCGCAAGCCACGGCGTGGCCAGCCACGAAGCTCGATCGAACACATGATATACTATTCTCTATACTATACTGTGCTAGGCTAGACTGGACTATACTAGTATCTTCCAGTGTAGAGTCTAGAGGCAACTCAATCCAGCCAACTCCGCAGCCAGCTCTTTTCGCTGATGCGCTTGCGCGCAAGACGGAAAAACTGCTCCACCGAGCCGAGATCTGAAACGCACCTCTGAGGGATGTTCGTTTCACATAAACCGATCGAAGAGCTAAAATAAGAGCTACATTGGGGGTTTACGAAGTTACCATAAGGGGCTACTATAACGGCGGGTTGCTCTAGTGACTCTAGTGAGGGTTCTCCGGCTTGGATATACTATGTAAGGGTTCACAGGTAGTTCTTTAAGTCTTTAATCAAGGGTTCAAGGTACCTCTGAAGCTTTATGAGGCTTGTGTAGAGCTACATGTAGCCGAGGCCGAAGAGTCTCTTGCGAATCTGCTCGACGATGGGCATCTGCACAGCCATGACCTTGGAAATGGCCCCAAGGCGAAGAGTTAGCAAAGGCACTCCCCACCGCAGCCGCCAGCTGGATGCATTTAGGGTTTAGGGTTTAGGGTTTAGGGTTCAGGAACTTCACCGACAAATAAGAACCCCTCAGTTGCCTCAGTTCTCGTTGGTACAGCTCCTCAGCCCAGGCGGCAGGGACTTGGCGCGCCGCCGCCGGCGCGAAGCCGCGGTAGAAACCTCGGGGACCCTCCTCGGCACTTGCTCATACGAGACTCATGTGCCCTGGGGAGCTTGTGCGAAACCATTCTTCTTCAGCATGTCCGAAGGCTGAGTTAGCCAGCCACTGATTTTGGGGGCCATGCTCGTTCTCTGCTTGCACATCAACGGGTGTTGTCTTGGGGCCCGGGCCCTTGTTTCAGTGCCTGACATGAGGTGACTTTTGAGCCCCAAATGAGCATTCCCCGTCCTCACGGAGTATGTAGGCGGCACATTGCAGCGGACTTTGGAACAATCCTGCCCCACACCTCCAGAGAAGTGACGATCAACGGCGTGTGTTGATGGTGCCTCTACACACTGCACCGATACCCGGCGTGTGAAGCTTTAGTGGCCGGATGCTGCTGCAGAAACAAATACTGATAGCGCTAGGGGCAAGCAAAAAATGAACTAGTGTATTTTGCTTATTTTAACTTAACATATGAGTATCATGAATCATGAAATATCATGAACCCATTGCCTCCACGGGTCTTAAATCTGTGAGCTCCGAGCGGCTGTACACGGGTTTTCACGACATCCGCGGGCATGCAGGCAATCTGGGCGACGAAGCCTGACTTCAAGCTGTGCAGCGGGTTTCAGTGAGCGCTGACGTTTTCCATGTTAGTGTCGGGTTCGAGTTGCTGCCCATTCTGACGTTGTCAGGACTACCGGAATTTCACCTCAGATCTGTTTGCTGCATGTCTCAGCCTGCGGCACGGAGAACATGCCACTGCGGTAGATTCATGCTTGATGGCCAGAAAAAGAACACGCTGCAATCGGCATACCTAAGACTGATGACCAGGCTGCACGACCTGAGCCCCTCTGGCAACGTGTGGATGTCACAAGGTTGAGCCACGCTTATACCACGCCTGAAAGGCAGGAGCTGCACAGGTGCAGTCTTGGACCATCCAGCCAGCCCGCGCGAACGGCCACCTGCTTGCACCTGGTCTCAGGCATTGCGAAACCCATGTTTTGATGCCACGCAGCAGAATCACAATTGCGTCACGGCTATCTTCCCGCACACTCCACAACCCCAGGTGCCATCATAACCACCATCATCCGCAACATCAACATCGTCACCATTGTTACGCTTCGCGGTCTCAACACTTGTACTACAACGCGTCCCGATTGGAACACCTCTCCATTTGAGCTTGTCATCTTAGCATAGAGGACGTTTATGCACCCTTAAATCTTCTGGCGATCGCAATTTATGGCACTGTGGACCCGCTTGTCTCCTTAGAAGGGGCACTCAGAACAACAACAACCATAATCACTGCTACAGGTGGTATTCGCTACTACACTCACCAGCTCATGAATACGGTGCATGAGAGCCGCATTACGAACCTTTTAATAGGGTTTTGAGGCCCATTATACTATAATTCTAATAAGGAACCCCCAAAATAGTATTGGGAAGCAGCCTATATTATTTCGGGGGCTCCTTATTGTAAGTATAGTACAATGGGCCCCAAAAGCCCCATAAGCAGACTCGAACGATCCAGAGAAGGCCAGCCACTGGTCATAGGTCGTCAGCTGCGCACTCGACAGCAGCGAGGCGCGAGCCACGTTGGCTGAGACGCCGCGCCAGAGACCGCCGAGACCTTCCCAGTTGGGGCATCTTCAGAACCCAAAACCTGCTTTTTTGTAGGGTCCCTATAAATCCCATATTAGGGTTTATAATACGAACTTACGAAAAAGTGGATTTTGGGTTCTTAAGGTAGTTCTGCAGCCTTTTTCTATATATGTCCCTCCTTGGCTATCTACACATGCTGCATACATCCACGCTTCCATCTCTATGTGCACCACGCATCACTACGCACAGGGAGAGACACAGACGGAAAGAGAGAGAGAGAGAGAGAGAAAGAGAGAAAGAGAGAGCGAGCGAGCATGGATCGTGCAGTGCATGTACTCTATGATTTCTTTCTCCCGGCTTTCTGCTGGTTGCCACTTTTCTCTTTTGCTCTTGATTCTATCAGTATCTGAGTAACACGAATACTCCATTCTGTGTCGTACTCCTGGTAATCCCAGTTGCGAGTGCATTCCGATCACGATGTTGCTGTTGCTGTTGCCACAGTCCTGTCTATCTTGCCAGGCTTCTTGTTGCACTTCTTCGCACTCCCGGTACGGTTATCGCTGGGGTGTTCTTCGTCTGCTTGGTCGCTAGACAGTGAGCTTCCGATGACAATTGTTTATGCCTGTGCCTTTCGACACATTCTTAACATCATCACGCAGTTGTAAATAATTCGGAAGGAACACGTGTCAGACTCAGGTACGAAACACATTTCGCCTCAAGGTCTTCAGATGCCGAATGTGCCAGTTCTGACTTCCTTGAAAGACTCTGGCCATCATCAGCACCAGTCAGCAATAGAGGCTTTGCCTGCGGTTTGATTTTACCGCCGGGCAGCTTGGAAGGCATGAGCAGAGGAAGCCCTCGTTCTTTCACTGTGGCGAAGGCGAATGGTAGGCGGTTGGTATTTGGGAGGCAATGGTGCGCATTCGTTTGGATATTCAATCCAATCATATTCCTACAGACTGTATGGAACCGGAGTCTAGTCATGGTCGAAGCCCTCAACACCAGACTAATCATCATGTGCGGCAGTATCACGACCGTCACACTTAGCATCATGACTACCCCCGAAAATCTGTCCACCCCAACGACCGGGTGCTGTTGCTCGTTTCCTGTCAGTACATAATTCACACTTCAAGTGCATACTGTGTACGAATACGACAAAAACAATCCGTCATCCGTCCATCGGTAAGTACATGATAATTTGGCTCCCACAAGGCTCGCCACAACGAGCTCCACAGGGCAAAAACCAGCCTGCCATTTATCTGCTTGTCTGTGCTATGCAGCTGCCTACTATATATGCCAGATTATGCCTGTGCCAGTATGCACAGATATATACCTGTAGGCACCCAGACTTCATCACATGTTGTGTCAATATGTACAGGTGCAGATGCGCAACGATACATGGAATTGTACGAACACATGAATGTACGAGGATGCCACGGCGCCGAAGTGTAAATTGGATTGATCACCAGGCCTTCTAGCTGGAAAATGTCTACCTCGGCCAACGGCAAGCGTGCGGTCTTCGAGAAAAGAACAGCATAGAATGATCACGATCCTCTGACATGTAATTTTACCCTCGCATGAAAGCAGAGCTGCGAATGCGCGCAGTGTATGAGCATGCCGGGGGCCATGCCCTGCATGAAGTCCCGTGGCATAAACCTTGGATCGGGAGAAGACGACATTCATCTTGAGGCTTCGGGCGTCTAGGACGGCTAGATAGCCTTTGGATGAAGAACTTCAGACAGAACTTGTCCATGTCTGGAGGGCAATCGAGATTTGTCGCCGCATGTTGCTGGGTGCATGTAGTGCTCCCGCTCCCGCCCGTGATGACCGCACAGGGCCAACTGTTGCTACTCATGTAATGATGCGTACTCCTAAGTCGTCACGATTTCTGTCAGCAGACCGGCTGTTCTTCTCAGCATTGTTCCCTGCAGTATGAGTACTCCTTTTCGTAGCATTGGCTACAGGAGGCGCGAAACAGCCCAAATGCCGCTCAAAGACAAAATCCTGCTAGAGTTGTCATGCTCGTCATTCCTACCGTTGCCGTTATTGCACAATCGTTCTTTGGTGGTATACTGGACCATGAGGACCCAGCCGCCGGACACAAATATCCTTGATCAGAGTCTCAGAGTTAATACGTACATATTTTTTGCATCCGTACTGATTAAGTTTACGACGGAAAGATGGCTGTGCTCAACACTGGCCTTCCAATAAAGCGCGGCGACGTACTTTCGTCACCCACTCCATATACATATATGTATATACATATGGATGAAAGAAGCAGAGAGACAGAGAGATGCGACTGACTGTCTATCTATCTAGCAAGCTAGCTAGGCGGCTAACTATCTATATACACGGTTATATACAGGTGTGTATGTAATAAGACAAGTAAACGAGCCCAGCAGCTCCATTTCTCAGCAGTCCAGCTTCACCCTTTGGAAGGGCAGCATGATGCGCAGTATTGAAGGCCGGGTTTGCAGAGGTCGATTGCAGCTGTTACGCACCGAACCTTTCCATCACGATGCATGTAGGCGTACCAATCAATCTTAGATTGCGGGGATCGGATTTTTCCGAGTTACAAACGAGCGAGGTAGGCTTTACAGGCATATGAGCACCCTACATGCAAGTGACCTCTCATACCAGAACCTCGCATCTTTGGTCTAGACCGAATCAAACTTTTCCGCTGGATAGTCCGGGATCCTCCGGACAATTGGGCATTATAGGCATTCGCAAATCCATGAAGCTTACACAAACATGTCGTCGCGCAGAAAGAACTCTCCAGGAAGTCCACCCACCGCGGGCGCTCCTGGAGGCGGACGCGGACCAGATCGATCGGATTCGCAAGAGCCGCCCCGAGGCTGCCGGTTGTAGCACCTTGGAGCTTCTGGTTGAGATCCCGGTTTTCTTGCCTACAGTCTACAGTCTTTGCATCTTGCAGGTGGTCTGTTGGTACATGCGTGGCAAAGGCTGACATGCGAGTCAGGACACCAGAGCAAATTTTGACGCCAAGAGTATCGTTGCCAAGACCGGCTCTTTGATATAGCCGCCTTGCAAACGTTGCTACTGGCAACAGCGGGACTTCCATCACTGGTTTTAGACTCTAGAATCTAGAAGCAGGCGTGACAAGTAATATTGCATTGACCGCCATGTCTGAGTAGGTTCGAGGTGCTTGATGCTGGGGTAGAGGCCCAACCGCAGACCAGTTTGCGTGAAAGCCCTCCTTGGCTAATGGTCAGAGGGCTCAGAAAGCACGGGCCTGCAGTTACACTGTACAGCAATTCCGACGAAGGCTGTCGAAGAACCACGGCTTTGAAATTGCAATGACATGGGCTGGTATGGAGATACCTGGGGCAGCGTGTATGTACCTGTCCTATGCATTAAGGTCGCACGCTCCTTCTGTGCGCACCACGCACAGCAATTACTACGTAATGCATTCGGCACCACAAGTTGCACTACAGCGGTACTGTCTGTTGCCGTCGATAGACGTAACTTTCATTTGTTGGTGCCTAAGCTATCCTTACATGCCGTAGTAGTACTAGCAATACTGGCAATTCGAGCAGCACTAGCAGTAGCAGTAGTAGTGGTAGTAGTAGTAGTAGTAGTAGTAGTAGTAGTAGCAGGAGTAGTAGTAGTAGTAGTAGTAGTAGTAGTAGTAGCAGTAGCAGGAGTAGTAGCAG